CATTCCATGACACCTTCTCAAACTTCTGATAATCACTCAAAAGAGTGAGGGAAATCACTCAAAAGAGTGAGGAAGAGTAGGTACATTTATAGGTTGTATCTCTGTTGAGATATATGCTTTTAAAATCTTCAGTTGGGCCTTGCACCTAAATGCAGCTCTGCTGCCACACTGCAGCACGCCAGAATGAAACTCCAGGGAATTAGTATTATTAAAATGTTTTGAAGGAAACAGGCTCTCCAGAAAATTGTTCTTGAGAGAAACATATCATTTAAAGAACTGTGGCACAGGACAGAGTTCTTTTCTGCTCAAACAGTGTATATATTGTACAAAATGCATACAAAAATGCCAAAAAAATAAAAAAATAAACCAAAGTATTAAAAACGTGCAATGTAAAATATTGTTAAATACATGAAATACATTGCTATTAAGCATTACATTTGCCTAAGAAAATTGTACCCTCTGCTTTTTCATTTCACAACAAAATGACCGCATTTAAAATCATTATTGCTCTTTGACTGAACAGATTCTCATGGTTGATTCTTTCTGTGAATTTTTAAAGAACGGATACACTTCCTCTGAGAAGGCACAGTCCTTAAACGTGAACATCACAGACATGTCAGTCACATTGAAAAAGGTCAAGAGTTTCTCTTCACAACTAAGGTAAACTCCGATCTTCTTGGGCTTTCTCTGCACCAAGACACGCGTCCAAGGGTCAGTTCTTGCCCAATAATCTTTCAAACTTGACCCCATAACCCAGAATCCTTCTTTTACTGACAAGTTAATTATTCCTTTCTTCTGGATAGATTTGCTGGCCACTCCGAGGTCCCAGTCATTGCTTTGTTCAACTTCCACCTCCCAGTAGTGGTTCCCAGAGGAGAAACCTTCTGAGCCCAAGACGCAGACGGTTGCATTGAATCTCCCTTCAATCTGAGGCACTCTCTGAGCATGTGGATTATGCGTAAAACGCTTCCCGTTCTCAGTAAAAGACAAGTTTGGATGGGCTGTGTCCACATCAGCCTTGACATCATCTGCAATAGACATTGGGGACTTCATAAGTCTCTAAATATTCAAGAAGAGAGAAAAGTCTACAGACCTTCACCTTGAAAACCTCCCTAAACCAGCCTAAAAAAACCTCTGTCCTAGAGTGCAGAAGGGTTGCAGTCATAAAATATTTGCATTCTGACTTTAAAAAATTTAATTGTCAAGTGAAACATATCTAAAAA